AGGGAAAGATATAAAACAGGAAATACAGGATCCTGTCTCACTTTAAATCATTTAAATAACAAGAGACCTGGGTTTAAAAAGAGCACATTCAGGAAAGTGTTTTCACTGTATCTTTGTTCCTTACTCATTGAAAACTTGAGTTCTAGAATCAATCTGGGATTTTTATTTCCATTTCTTTTGTCAACACTTGGAGAACCATTTCATGCATCTACTTGTGATATGCAGTATCTAAATTCAGTAATTCTTCTTTTCCATTTACATGTTTTTTCAAGCTATGCTGTCACTTCATCAGTGGCTTTTCATGAGTCATTGCTTGGTGCAGAGATACCTTCTGCCAGACTATTCAGGCTTTTATGTCTATGGGAGACTGAAAAAGTAAAAGGAACCATTTCAAAATTTCTTTATCGCATGACAAGACTGTTTTTATATTACAAGTCTGAAGAAATAATAGTTAAACAAAGCGTTCCACCCCAATTGGTTATTCCTGTATTATCAATAGTTTGAAACTGGTACAGGCCTTTCAACTTGAGTGTCCTGAATGGTATTTAAAATCTGACAGAAGCCAAATTTCACTTAAGGTAACATTAAAAACAGTTAGGTAACATTAAAATAAGTTATTGGTAGTACCTAAAAAAACTTGAAACCTGAACCAAGGGTGGTATAGTAAAGGTGAAAATGGACAGTCCTATGGACATATATTTTGATAAATACTGCTACTCAGCTACTGATTTAAAGCAGCAGAGTTCTAGGGCTGGTATCTGGTTCTTGACAGATTGACAAACAGGATGAAGAGCAACAGGGTCTATTGGTACTACAGAATACAGGGCAAAGTATATTGTCTTTAGGTGTATTGCCAGGTGCCTTGTGCTACTATATCATAAGCTGTGCTAGTACTCTGCTTTGTTCTGGACCATGAAGGGATGAAATAAAAGAGCACAAGGTACAAAGCAAATAGTGAGCTTTCTCATAAGGCTCCCAGAGTGCAGTACTGACAGGATGTGTCTACTGAAAACATGTTACGTCAGCTTGTTCAAGCCATGAACCATTTGGTGTGATAGATTTTGTGTGAGAAGATGGAGATTTAAAGGACAGATTTTGTTTTTAAAAAAAAAACCACTAAAGGAAGTGGCCATCTTGCTTGTCTTTTAGCTCCCTTGTTCCACATCTGCTTTACTTTCATCCTTTCAGCAGCTCTCAAAAATCTCCATTGCAGTCAAGGAGAAAAGTTCTCTGTTTTGGCCAGCCACGCAGCATCTACATGGACGAGGCGGGTTTAGCCAATGTATGTACTGTCAAGTAATGGAAGGTAGAGGGTTTTGTGGGAGCTAAAAATACTGTCAGTGAGGAATACTGGAATGGGAGCAAGCTGTGGCTTTTTTGTTGATCATCATGGGGAATAAAAAAAGCCTGAAATGCTTAATGTGTGCTCAAGGTTGGGAGATGTAGGTCACAGTGGATGAGCTCTTTCTCATCTGTGTGCTCTTAAGAGCTGTGGAGAATAGTGTGTTACCAAGTCGCGTTACAGAATTGAAAAAAAAAATTTTCTCCAAGTGAACCTTGCAAGTGAAACAAGAAGAAAGGATAAAGTAGAAGCTTGCTTATGGGAATGACTTTTAGAACAACCTGCACTGAAATACCTTGTATGTGTTGTTAAAATTGCTGATTGGAATCCTTTTTCACCAGGCACTGCACATGAAATTGTGATGTTTGTATTGCTTGTTGCTATTACTAGGCAAGCTGATTGGTAATCACAGAAATTAATTTTCTTAATTCTTAACTCTCTGTGAAGCTAACTGCACAATGTTTTTTCCCTTTTTTAAAGGGGCAGGGGATGCTTGATAACATGTATATACAAAAAACCAAAGTATATGGGGAACTTCATGGATGAAAACATCTAGCTTCCAGTGCTAGATTATGGTTCATATGTCTTGGATAACTGTGCTTAAGTACTTAAGTGAGAAACAGTTCCTATTAAAACTAAATGTTTGAGCTGTAATGTTTATATTAGTTTACTTTCTATTTCTAAGATCTGCTATTTGTATTGATAAGATAATTGATTTGCTGACAAAGTCTAATCCTGCTGATTCTGGCCTCATAATATTCTTGCTGTGGATGCTCTAACAGTTAACTAGATTCTGTTGGTTTTTTTTGAACATCCCCATAGTCAAACACAAAGTCTGACAAGAATGTTATTTGAGAAGCAGAAGCGGGTTGTCAATTATAGACCTCAGCCCATAATTAAGGGGTGTGCATGGGGGGAGGCTTCAGCTATCATTGGAACTATGTAATTTTAGTAATCTAAAGGATGAAGTATTTACCTGGTTGTTGCCAAATACAATAAGCAGCAGAGGAGAATTCTTAGGGGTTTTTTTAGATAGCAGAACTGCTAAGAAGTTGATATAATGTTATCTGGTAATACAATTAAATTATTTTTAAGGGTGGCTTAGTCTGTTGGAATGCACTAGTCAAACACACATGGGGGATGCGGGGAGCCTATCTGAGACTAACAAATGTCCTTTAGGTCTGTGACCATTTTGTGTGTGATTGCAAGTATTTGAGAGAAATGAGCTCTATTTCACTACCTTGAAATCATAGTTTTTCAGTCATGTTGAAGTGGGTTGGCTGGAACAGAATAAAAGAAATAAACGGTGTTCTGAAATATGTAGTGAACTCTTTTTTTCTCTAATGTCCTCCTCCCTTGTCTCATACGCTGATGTATTAGTTTCATGTCCAAGTAGCGCAGTTCTGTGAAGGATGTATTCATGGGGTAGAAATCTCAGTGAGAACAGAAAATAAGAAGTATGAGCTGTGCAATAATACTAAGAAGAGATTGAAATAATATTGGTAAAAGAATCTTGCTCTTGTGAAATATTAGATCAAACCTGTTTCTAAAGACTTTACTTTTGAGAAAAGAGACTTCAAGTTCACTTACTTCTCAGTGTATTCTAAGTGAAACTGGTGCACTTGGGAAAACTCCTGGGAACATTTTCCCTTGTGCTATAGTTTCTGTATGTGAGCAGAAGCTGGTGGGTCCTATTTTGTATGTTATTGTCACTTAATGTTGATAAGCAAAATGATACTATTCTTATATTTTAGCAACATGAACGGTTTGAAGTATCAGAAAAGTATGTAATTTTATACTTTATTTGTTTACATCTGAACATGGGTAAGCAGTATGTGCAAATGCCTGTGAAGCAACTTTAACACTTGCATTATATGTTGAAAAAAAGAAAATGGAAAAAAACTTCTTTCTTATCTTCTAGGAGGAAGAGTTGAGAAAAAGTGGAGAGGCAAAGTATTTCCACCTAAATGATGACCTGCATGTTTTAATTGAAGTATTTGCTCCACCAGCAGAAGCATATGCCAGAATGGGACATGCATTGGAAGAAATCAAGAAGTTCCTCATCCCTGTTAGTATTTCAATTTTTTGTAAGAATTCTGGTAGTCTTGAGTGAGAAATTTTCTCTAAAACTAACTTACTGTATGATACTGATCAGGTCATGTTGCTTAATTTCCTTCATCTGTGAAAAGTGGTGATGTTTACAAACACTTTTCATTCTGATATAGGCAGTTATTGGGTGAATGCATAACTTTCCACATCCACTCTCACCTCATATGACCTATATTAAAAAAAGCAACTTATTCTTGCTTAACTGGTCATATGCAAAGTATTTAAGTTTACAAATAACTGTAAAAATCTGTAAAATATCAAAAAATAACTTGGCTTAAGGTAGGGCTTTTCTGTGTTCTAGGTATACCTGAAGCATCAGCATAGGGTTCTGTTTCACTAAGAATAAATACATTTGAAGTTAGTATAGCTCCCACCCATAATCCTGGTTTAGTGTTCAGTGCTGAGAATCAATACAATTTTATCTTCTAGCTCTATTTTTCTCACAAAGCTAGTGATACATGGGTTATACTTTTGTGGTGTATTCAACTTGTGATGTATGGATGTATAAAATGAGATGTTATTTCCAGTATAAGTTTGTACTCCAGGCTTGGAATATGTATAGACAGTGATGTTGCAGGGTTTCCAGTGTCTTTTTACAGAAGATTCCTTTACTTGCTTCTCATGTAAGGACCAGCCTTGATTGTTTTGCAATATTAAACTGCTTGGAACAGTCCAACTCTCTTAAGCTGAGGCATTTGAGGTGGTCTTACTGTGTGAAGTTCCTAACTGTATTAGCTCTTCAGTGAATGTTCTTCTATTTTTATTGGTTATCAAATGACTGAATATAGAAAGAAAAGCATCTTCCAGGTGGATTGATTTCTGTGTATTTTTACTGCTGAAAATGTTATTCAAGTGTTACTCTTGATTAGTGACAGATCTTGGAAATGTGAGAGACCTAGCTAAGGAAACTTCACTAAGGTGCGTATCTGAGTGACAGCAGCACATAAATGTTTGAGTATAGTCAGTGTAGCTGTGTTCAGGACCACTGTTATATGGCCACCACAGCCTGTTGGGAGTAGAACTGCTAGCTGTACTCCAGGGTGAAGCAGCTGATGCTGATGACCTGACAATACTATGGTATGCATTTGGGGGATTTTAGTTTGTGCTAACTCTAGTCTAGATCCATGAAAAGAAGTCCAAGTGACTGGAGTTGATTGTGCACTCTGAGTGTTTCCTTCTGGCTTGTTTTTGTCTGAAAACTAGTTCATATGCCCCAAATCCATGACATGAACCAAAGCTTGGTAAGTAACAATCATCAGGAGGCATCCTGATGTGAAATAATGCACTAACATGGATGCACCTTAAGACAGTTAATGCCCCCAAAATGTCCTGAGCATTATGTTCTATTATAAAGAACCAAGCACCACATCATAACTCTGCAGGTTCCAAATGGTTTTTGTCTTGATGTATATGAAGAGGTAAATAAACATACTGCTGTTCAAACATTCTAACTGATGAGGTAGGGGATACTCAACAGAATCTTTGTAGGAGTGCTGGGCTGTCATAATGTCAAAGGTTACTGTATTTACATGATTCAATTGTGTGAAGAGGTAAGGGAGAATTAAGTTCTTTGCTATTCTAGTGAGTGACCAGCTGTTTTCTTTTTAGATGAACATGCTCAACTTGATAAGTGCTTTTTGCTTGGAAGAGGACATATCTGATTCTTCTGCCCCCTTTGTCAGAGATCTTATTTTTCTTCATTGAGCTTGATTCGCTTAATGTCATAATAAATACAGTAAGCTTACCAAAACCTAGTCATTACTGCTGTTAAGCCAGTAGAATTAGACTGATAATGAGCAATTCCATTCATTGGTTCTATGCTTTTCCATCTTGATTTTTGATCATTACATCTTTATTGTACTGAGCTGAACTGATGCTACATAATCTTTTCTGAACTATGGGATCAGGCAAACACTGTCTTAATTTCTCGTTGGCTTTTCAAATGTAATCTTATCAGAATGGTTCTAAATGCCTTAATCTTTTCTGCCTCCCCTGCCCGCCTTGCAGCAGCCATTCCAGGAAGCAATAAGGAGCAGTTTTGTCCTCTCCAAAACTACCATTTGGTTAACTGCTGCCAAATGCAACTTGATATTTATTTTCTTTGAGGTCTGTTGTGGCTTTCTTAGCAAATTATCAGTTGTATTTCAAGTAAAGTCCCGCTATCAGTATATATGATTATGATCTTAATATGTGTTCTCTTTACAATGTAAGCTAACTATACCTCCCAACAACTTTAGAGGCTGATCCTAATTTATGAATATCATCATTGTCCAGTTCTCAGATCAGGCCTGAATATACAATCACAATTGGTACTAGAATGTAGGATACAAAATATCCTTGTAGTAGCTGACTATAGCAAATATGCCTTAGCCTCTTGTCATGGTTTAGCCCCAGCCAGCAACTAAGCACCACGCAGCTGCTCGCTCACTCCCCCTACCCCGATGGGATGGGGGAGAGAATCGAAGGAGTAAGAGTGAGAAACACTCCTGGGTTGAGATAAGAACAGTTCAATAATTGAAATAAAGTAAAATAGTAATGATAATAATAACAATATAATAGTGATAATAACAATATACAAAGAAGTGATGCACAATGCAATTGCTCACCACCTGCCGACCGATACCCAGACAATTCCTGAGCAGTGATGGCTGCTCCCCAGCCAACCCCTGCCCAGTTTCTATACTGAGCATGACGTCAGATGGTATGGAATAGCCCTTTGGTCAGTTTGGATCAACTATTCTGGCTGTGCCCCCTCCCAGTTTCTTGTGTACCTGGCAGAGCATGGGAAGCTGAAAAGTCCTTGACTATCATAAGCAGTACTTAGCAACAACTAAAACATCAGCGTGTTATCAACATTCTTCTCCTACTAAATCCAAAACACAGCACTATGCCTGCTACTAGGAAGAAAATTAACTCTATCCCAGCCGAAACCAGGACACCTCTCTTCTCAGATCTTTTTCAATCCACAAGCAAGCACCTCTGCATTGAAGTTCAGCCTCAAGCAGATGCAGTGGTGTATGTTCCTTTAAACTATTGGTTTAATTCAAACCAAGGCATAAAACCTTCTGACTTGAGGTTTTCTTGGCTGTGCTTACCATGTTGCCTTGACTCTCTCCTGTCTTCTGCAGGTAGAACTGTGGCTTCTGACTTTAAGTATATTCTTTTGTCCTCCTTTACATTAGCCAGTCCCTTTGTTCTGGCCAGACCCTCTAGTCATCAGTCTGTTTGACTGTTAGATTGGTGGGTGTCATGCTTGATATTTATCCCAGAATTACTTCTGTCAGGACAAAAAGCCAGGTACTTCCACCCTCACCTCCCTTTGGGTCCTGTATTATACTGCAATTACTGCACTTTTGGCCAATAGGACTTTTCTTAGTCTATTTTGCTTAATTTTTGAGTAGTGGCAGTCATTCTTCTTTGGGCAGCTACAGCATTAGTTATGTTTTGCTGTTGGTTACCAGTTACTTGTTTTACTTGTCTTTAAAGCAAAGTATAGAAATACCTTTGAGAGAACAATCCGTAGCAGTCAATTTACAATGTGAGCAGAGTTTCCAAATTTTTCCTGTAGTCTGCCTTGCCTCCTGCATGTTCAGTTTGTAAGGTGGTGATGAAATAGTGTTTAATAGCATTTGGAAGAGCTGGTGGGCTTTGGAAGCTCACACACTTTTCTCTAAGCAATCTGGCAAGTAACTGTAAGGTGTGTGTGTATAAAGGTGGCTAGAAATCTGATAACTACTGTTCACTGCCAGGATGAAGATCTGCTTGGGTGTTTTGCAAAACTGCATAGGGTTTTGCAGGGATCTGTCCTAACATCAAATAAAAAATGTGTTTACTAATAGTTCAAATGATAAATTGAAATGAAGTCTCAAGTTACCAATGATCCCAAGGAGAGCTGCTGCCGGTGTGTTGATCAGGACTGGGTGAAAATTGCAGATAACATCTAAAAGAATGTTGTTTAGTTGGATCAGGTAAGTAATTCTCTGTAGGGAGAAAATCTCTTGCATGTATCTTGATGTAGTCATTCCTAGAAGAAAATCCTCCATCTTCAGAGAAGACTAGTCAGTCAGGATGGGCAATATTTATAAAATGAAAGTACATCTGCTCACTTGAAACTAGTCAGCAGCATCTGACTGAAATTCGAGTGTCACCTCAGCCTAAACCGTGCAGGGGAGGAGTGCAGTGTAAAGGGTTTCCATGTCCATCTTTTGTTCTAGGTGAGGAAGAGATTGTCTCTTCAATTTGACTTGAAATGTGCTGTTTTCCAGCAGTGGGTAGTCATAAATTGACCATCTGTTACTTTTAATTGAAGAATCCATTTCAGAGTTTAATGGATTAACACCGCTGGTTAGCATGGGTTCCTTGTAGTGCCCCTTCACTCCGTATCCTCCTGCTGCCTCTGGCATATGTGATAAGGACCGTATTTTCTGTTCTGTGCCTTTGTGCAGTGGAGTCCTTGTCTATGACTAAGGCTGCTGGTATGTCTAGTAGTATGCTGCAGGAAAATGAGAAATCATTAGGAAGAAAAAGAACCCATCATGTACAGAGTCAACCTAAGCATGTCTAAGAAATTAAAAAGATTTTTGAATTCATAGAAGTTTTAACCTCCTTTCAATGCAGAGTTCTGTTTCAGAGTTGTCTGTTGCAAGGCTACCTGACAGTCTTTTGGTAACTGCCTAGTGCATAAATGTAATAACTGCAGACTTCCAATAAGAGGTGCAGATCCTTTGTTTTGTAACTGAGTTGTAAAATGGGTGGTATTTGAATGAACCTTCTTTGAAATGGGAGGATTTGTAGAAGATAAGAGCTGTTATATCGGAAGTATCACTTCATTCTTATTAGAGGACCTGTTAATATTTTGATATTTTGTATGTATACATGTTGAGTAAAATTTATTTTTCTCATTCACCTTTACAGATGCATTCTTTGGCTCCCTTTAAATGGAAGAAAAATGATAGAAAAATATGTATAGCTCAAGAGTTCATTGCTGTATCTGTTTTATTCTTGTGATGTGCTAGTTTTGGAGGTCGGCTCAAGGTCCCTGAAAAGACTCTTGTGTATTTTAGAAGTACCATATTAATTCCATGTAAATAACTTCAGCTTTCTTTTCGACAGACCTTGAGAGAGGATTTGTGCAAAGTAAGAAACAAGCCATGTGTCTTCAGCTTGTTTACCATTGCATATGGTAAACAAATGAAAGAAAACCATCTCTGAGCAAAAAATGTAATTAATATTTAGACCTCTTGTAGAAATTTTTGACTAATATGCCTGCAGTATTCCGCATATTAAACTTTTTCAGTGGGTTGTTCAGCTTTTTAAGAGGGAACTTTCAGGATCAGTGTTTGCTGATACTAATTTGGTGGCTGAACAGTTTGTTTTTTTCTTACTCTGCCCCCCTGTTTTAGGACTACAATGATGAAATCAGACAGGCACAGCTTCAAGAATTAACATATTTAAATGGTGGCTCAGAAAATGCAGAAGTTCCAGTAGTTCGTGGAAAACCATCTATTCGAGCAAGAGGAGTACCAGTTCCTGCTTTGGCCAGGTAAGTACCTCACCTGCAATGGAATTTCATTGGAATGTACATATTTTAAGCTTCTCCCTTCAAACCGCCCCCCCCCCCTGCCGAGAGTACAATAGTAAAATTCATGAAGGATTCCTAAAATAGGAGCAAAAGATAAGGGAAACAATCTTGATTCATTGAAGATAGTCTAATTAGTTTAGACTGAATTAACAATGGTGCTGAAATTTCTTATGAAACTGGAATGATACCTATGTTAAGAAGCAATGTATGTCATACAAGTTCAATTTTACTGTGTGAGCACCTGCTTGAGTTCTAACTTTGATTTGCTCCTTAGGTGCATGTAGGGTCTGTGTATTGGCCTTATGGAGTGCCTGGCTTTGAAAAACTGGTAAATCTGTCTTGCCTTGACTGACATATGAATTTCAGAGCAATTTCTCTAACTTAAGGAATATACATATTCCTTTTTTATAGCATTACTAAGTTTTTGTAGTCATGATAAAATGTTACAGAAGTGCTTTGGAGGTAGAATTTGGATTTGGTCTCATCTGAGTGGCACTTTTTTAATGAAAAAAGTGGCTTTTCAGGAGTAGGCAAGTCTACTGCTTCTTTTGCTTTATTTTTCTTTGATGCAGGAGATGTTTTATTTTTACTCTAGCTTCCCCTATCTTCCTTGCAGTACTGAGATGACAACTTCAACTCCTTTGAGTCCTGAAGTGTGAAAACAAACTAAATAAAGTGCATAACTGTTTCTGTTACAGTACAGAGAGATTGTGGACTGCAGCAGCTAAGTGTAACTGTTCTGTATGGTGAACTGTTTTCCTTCAGTTGTGGGTATGGTGCTTATTAATGCAAGCTTGAAACTTACATTTCAGCTTCTAAAAACAATTTCAAAATAATATTCTGAAGTGTTTTAACTCAGATTAAGCATGTTAGAAGAAAAAGCACTGAGCTCATTCTATTTACACAGAACTGTTTAATTACATGTATCCTGTAATGATTGCAAACACAATGCAGAATGAACCTTAATTTAGAGAATTTATGATTACTGTTGGTTGTGTCCTGTAAGAATATAATTTTTTTTCTCTAAATCAACAAATTTTTGTTCTTATATTGTGTAATATATCTGTTCTGCTTCTCTTCTTGATTTTAATGTTGTTCAGAGTAGTGGTAATTATATACCAAGGTTGACTTTAGTGCTGTAATCAGTCATACAAAAGTGCTTGCAAATTGGAGATGCCATTTGATTTTGGAGATTGGCTTTTTACTAATTCTTTCCCATAGGTACCTGTAACAGCTCTGCTACAGATGCTTAGTACAGTGTGTACTGTACTCACAGTTCTATTTCATGTTTTCTTCATATCCTTAAGCTAGTGTTTGTGATACTGTAGTTATTGTTTGGTCTGATATTATCACTAAAGTTTGATACCTTATTTCTACTACTGGTGTCTAGCACATGCATGTGTAATTAACTCTTCATAGTCCTGAATTTCTAACATCACTAGTTCCATTCTCTGGATTTTGGCAAATTATTTTTTCAAACCTGCATTTTATACAACACATACATGCTGTTAGGTAGCTTACAAAATCCTTTGTAGTTCATCCTATTGGCCTACAACTATTGAATTGTCTTCAGGGTAAATGTTATTAGCATTTGATTTGGAGATGACAGCTAAAAATTGTACTTGTCATCTCTTTGTGTTCTGAAGAAAAGTGAAGGTTGTTGGCTTGTTTGACTTGTCCTTACTTTAAGGCTTGTCTTAAACTCCAAGACTTTTTCCCCTCAAATCAAAGCACTCCCTTAGCATAAAAGATTCCTTGAGTGAAATTTAATGCCATTGCTACTGAGACACTAAAGCCATTGAGTTAAAGATCTCAAATGAAGTTGCAATACTCAGATTCTTTAGTATAACTTGATTTCAGTAATACTTTTGTTGAAGGAAGGCTTTGTTAAAGGCTTTGTCTTACTGTTAAAACAGTTTTAATAGCATTGCATCCCTGAGATCCAGGAGAGGTTGAAGCAAAGCTTGAAGACTTGTAAAATGAAGTCTAAAACCTCAATCCTAACTTCTCTTTATAGTCTGTAGAATATTTTTAAGATAACAGCCTTGATACATGAAACATCCTGTGAGGATGCAATAACCGTGCGTTAAATTCCCAGTTTTTTAAGCCTTTATTATTCGTGAATAGTTTCGCTTAAAAAAACCCAGAGTACTAATTTATGCCTTTTTTTACTCCTTATCAGACATGTTGAAACTGGAGATAATGCATCTTATCAAGTACCTTTTTTAAGAAGACTTATGTGTATGTTTAGCTCCATACCAAAATTTTACTCTGTAGAAAACAATAGATTTGTTGTGTTTGCATAGAAAATTCTAGCTTGTGCACAGGTATTCCTGTATATGGTAAGTAATTTCCTAATGGTTGTGGTTTGGTAATTTTTTTACTCTGCTATTTCTGGCTTGTTCCAGATGTTCTTGAATGAATTTTTTATGACTTTAGAACCAAGCAAGATTTTTGGGGGTGAGTGGATGGAATTTGCTGTAGAAGGATTGTGTGTATTTTGGGCTTTACCTTTAGGAATATGCTTTTCTTATCACTGATCTTGAGCATATAGCTGCTTCCTTCTGCCCTCTTGCCCCCAATTTTATTTTTTTTTTCTTCATCCCAATACTGTTAAAGATGACCTTCAGATATAATTACAACACTTCTATTTTCTGTGGTGTTTATACTGAGCATTTAACCTTTTTAGGTAGTACCTGCTTCTGCTGTGCAACAAGAGAAGGGACATGCGAATCTTTCCCTGGTGAAAGTCTGCTTTTCACTCCTTTGTCTTTATTGTAAACTGACATTGTTGTTAACTTTTTTGGAGGCAACTATATAAAATGAAGGATCATATCTTTTTTAATTTATTGTGCTAGCAAGCTTAGACCCATGATGTTTCATGTGATGCTGTTATAGTGAGTAGCTAGATAATGTACCTCTTGGAATCAGTGTTTCTTTAGTGCATTTGAATTCCCATCCTGAATCAGTGCAACATAAATAATAATACTACTGAAATGTGAATTGAGACTTCTGATTAACTAAAGACTGCAAATAAACATGTGTTAACATACAGGTTAATGTACATTTGCAAGGACATTTTGCAAATAAAGTAGCATTTCCTCTCTAAAACTTCACATTCCTAATTTAAGAATAAATAAAAATAAGATTTAAGGATCACTCAATTCTGACTCTAATATATATTGGAAAAGTGAAATTCTAGAGGATGATAATAGCAAGGAAGATTTCTCCATATTCTTAGGCTTACTGCCTTGGGGTGGGGGAACCAATTCATGTCACTTATAGCTAGAAATCACTGTCGAAATGATGGAATGGTTTGGGTTGGAAGGAAGCTTTAAATATCATCTAGTCCACCCCCCTGCCATGGGAAGGGACATACTCCCCTAGATCAGGTTGCTCAAAGCTGCATCCAACCTGACCATGAACACTTCCAATGATGGGGCATCCACAGCTTCTCTGGGCAACCTGTTCAAGTATCTCACCAGCCTCACTGTAAAGAATTTCTTCCTTATGTCCAATCTAAATCTACCTTCTTTCAGTTTAAAACCATTGCCCCTTGTCCTGTGACCACAGATGCTGGTAAAATGTCTCTCCATCTTCCTTATAAGAAGCCCTCCTTAAGTATTGAAAGGCCACAGTAAGGGAGAGCTGGTTGGGTTCACTGCCCAGATTGAGAGCAGTTGTATTTGAAAGCAGATATTTTGGTTCCACTAAGATGGGGGGGAGGAAAAAGTAATTTCTTACAAAGCCAACATATAGGAATAGTCTAATTAAAGAAATAGCAAAATTCTGGTTTATGCTTGCAAGAGGTTGTGGGGTGTTTTACTTTTCCCATTTGTTCTTTTTATTCATTTTTCTGTGTATGCATGGCTGGGATCCTAATGGTTGGCTGACTGTCACTCTGTCTGGGGACAAAAGTGTTACAGAAGTTGTAGGTTAAAATTTGCTGTCTTGTATGTCAGAAGAAATATGAGGTGATGTGGGTCACTGCTGTAATGTGTTCACAACTTTCAACTATTCTTTGTTAGTCACCAGATCAAAAAGTCATTCCTGTCATGTCTGAATTAACTGGTTTCTTTTTTGAAGAATAACTTTTTGTGGAGAACATGTAGGTAGTGTACTGCAAAAGATTCTGTAGCACAAAATATTTGACAAAGCCAGTTCAGGATCCAGGACAAAGGCAGGTATTATGTTCAGGGTGTTCTGTCTCTTTTTAGTCTTGTGATCAATTTTGTGAAAAAAGGAGATTTAAACAGGAACATACTGTTTTCAAACAAAAATGTGAAATAAAACTTGCATAAAAGACCATTCTTGTTTTTCAGTATTATAAATAGGTAGTCAAGGCTGACATGGGTTGACAAATGAGTTTTAATAACATACAACTTTCAAGGTTTGGGGATAATGCTTTGTGGCCTATAGAAGTGGAAACAAAGATTTCTCTCTTCTGTAACAAAGAAACAGTGGAAGGATTAAGAGGGCTAACAGGCAAGGAAATGTATTGGCAGACACCTCAAATTTCAGATGCACAAGCATTCTGATTGAGGGTTAATATACACAGTTCTTTATTGAAAGGAAAAGTTGTGCTGCTTGTAGTGAAACCATGAATTATATACCTGAACCAAAGTTGTGGATCAAGACTGTTTCATAGTTATTTGAACAAATGTGCCATAATTTTAATTAAAATAAGTGGGAATTTGGGATCTAATCACTGATGCTCCAGAAAGTTTCAAAATCTACTTTTCTAAACCCTCAATTAACATGAAAGAGTATCTGATTTTAGGAGAGGAGCCCTTCATTGTCTTAAAGTTTGTCAACTGAAATCTCCATGCCAAAAAAATTTTAGGTAATCTGAAAAGAAAGGCTATTTTACATGTTTTTTTAAAGAAAAAAATAGTCTGTAAGCTGTGTGCAAAGACAGGGGGAGTTGGTGATGGCAGCTGAAATTTGGTCTGCAGAATGAT